CCACCCTCCCCCGGACGATGGAGGGGGGGGGGGTGCTCGTTGCTTGAAGTGGACCAATATAACATAGAGCCATCCAAGCAAAGCTTATTACTCACCTGAACGACCTGACCAACCACGCAAAAACTGCGGAGCTAGATGTGCGGCACGCACAATGAATTGTTTTCGATTGGAGAGAGGCGAGTACAAAGCAGTAAGGAATTGTTGGCCAAACTTTCGGCAGATAGGTCTACTCGGGAGCGTAAGTGGGGTAGCAACCCATGGTGGAGCGTACACGAGAAGCTGGACGTTGGTGTACGATCCATCCCGGCGTGTGAGTAGGATCTTAGGCTATGCAAGTCGTCCCTGAACTTATTGTGGTGAAAATGACCTCCCAGGAGGAAAGTAGCCTGTACCGCGGGACTTCGGAGATGATAAATTGGGTGGTCGGGGGACGTCTGGGTGTTTACTAAGCAGAACGCCCGGCACAAGACTGGGGTACTTGTGCCAGGAGGTGTGAACTTGGATCTAGACTACGAGCCCATGTTGGAGGCGCTATTTAGCGTCGGTGAGCCGGCAAAAGAACTGAAAGGAACCGCAACCCCCACCGGACACTCGGATTGGGAAGGCCGAGTATTCCGTATACCTTCCTGAAAAAACACGAAAAACAAGTGGCCGCGGTCCAGTTGCTGTAGAGATCATGAGGATGGTGAAGAAGCCGGGAGGATGGAAGCAGAAACTGTGGAAGGGAGACAGGTTGGAGCTGCTGCTGTTTGGAATTCCAAGGGACATGACGAGGATAGAGTTCAAGAACTGTTGTGACACGGAGGGACTGCACTGCCTAGCAAGGGGAGAAGTAGGCAGAGAGCATGAACATTTCCGGGTGAAATTGACCAAGGGAGACAGTCAAGAGTGCTTGGGGGTTGACATCGAGAAGCTGTCGAGCTACGTAAGGAAGTTTGGATGGAGGGTTTGTGTCGCGAACATGATAGAAACAGAGAAGGTAAGGCGACAGGAGGCGAGGGCGATAGAGGCGAAGAAGGGACCGGGCGGGGGAGACGAGCAGGCAAATCAGAAGAACGCCGAGAAGAAGCGGAAGGCGAAGGATAGAGTGCGCAAAATCTCCAATAGGGAAAAGCACAAGCTGAGAGTGGGGTCGTGGAACGTGTGCGGGTTCGCAAGGAGTGAGCGCAAGCGGTTGGAAATAGTGGACCAAGTAGAACAAAGCGATCTGGATGTAGTGGGGATCCAAGAGACGTGGGAACTGAAGGATGGGGACGTGGTAAGCAAACTAGGGAAGTACCGGTGGGTAGGGAAGGCAAGAAAGGGCTTAGACCCGAAGAAAAGGGGGGAGGGGGGAGTCGGGTTCCTGGTCAAGGAACACTTGTTTGACGTGGTGGAAGTAGTGGTGAAAACGGAGTTCGAGGAAAGCCTATGGCTTAAGATACCTGGGGAGCGGGGTGAGAAAGATTTGTTTCTAGGGAACGTATACGTCCCACCGTCGTCGAAGAAAGTCGCAAGCAAGGCGCAGGAGAACTTCGGACAAATTGGCGAAGATGTCCAGAGGTTCAGTAGGAAGGGAGAAGTTGTCATGGTGGGCGATTTCAACTCCAGAGTAGGGAAAGCTTGCAGTAGAGGACAGGCGATCGGGCAGCACGGAGAAGACAAAGTGAATGACAACGGAGTGAGGATGCTTGAATTCTTGGGAAGCAACGAGCTGATGGTGTTGAACGGTAGGAGGGAAAGCGATAAGCCGGAGTTCACCAG